TTGGTTCAATGGAAAAATCCTTGAATCGTCAAAATTTAGAAGTTGTTTGTAGACATTAATTCATTTAGACAAAAGTACTTAATCAAAATAGCTATTGGAAAATGAAGTATATAGAGCATGTTTAGACCAAAATGATTTGCTTGAAAAAGGTTTGTTAAAATTACTATTTATTAGACTTAAAACACAAATTATTTATTATCTAGTTAATAACATAAGTTCAAAGAATCCTAGGGGATATAAAGATGAAGACAAAAAAAGTAAAGAAACAAAAGAAACAAAAAGAGCTAATGCAAAGATTGTTGTTGATGATGCTAATGAAAAATTAATTGTTGAGATTAATGAAAATACTAAATTACCATTATTCCTTGGAAGAGAAGGAAAAGAATTTAAAGAAGATGGAACATTTATCAATTTAAGACCATTTACTGACTCAAAAACAGTTTCACATCTCCATGCTCAAATTGATTATGACCCTAAACAACGGGTTTATCAATTACTATCAATTGGTAGAAATGGAACACATATTGATGGGGTTGCACATGTTAAAGAACAAGGAGAATGTCCTCTTATTGACCGTGCTATGATTCAAATTGGTGGTTTTAGAATGAAATTCGTGTATTGTTAAATGCCATTTGATTTAATGTTATTTGTTGTTGTTAAATTCTCTCATTTCATTTCTCCAACTTTCCTCTTTATTATTTCTTTGTAATTTTTTTGCACTAAATTCTTTTAATTAGACTAAGAATCCTAACATGATAACTTATAAGAATCTATTTAATAGGAAAATTGTTACATATGTAGAAATAAGATTTGTGTCTGTTTTTCTTGTTGGATCAGAGAGAAAAAATAAAAAGAAGTATTTCTAAAAGACAATTGAACTTTTAAACAAAATTTTTCTATCTTTTTTTCAGTCGAGAATATACTTTCTCCCTTTCACTCTTTTGAGAAAGTTCTTCTTTAACTTTTCTACATTTTCAATGAAAGTGAATAGTTTATTAATATTTCATTCTTTGAAACTCAACCCTTTTATCATATCTCCATAGTGCTTCTACTTTAATTATATTATTATTTTTATTTATTAAAATCTTTCATTTCTTTTTATTAATATCATTTTAAATTTATTTTTATCTATTCAATTTTCATTATTAATTTTTTATTATTTTTTTTCATTCATAAAATAATTGTTAAATATTATTTCAATTATGCAAATACTGGAATGAATATTTGTCTAGGTTCTTTTGCATTACATACTGATGCTGTAATCTGATAACTATCACCAATAGTATTAAGATGTCTATTCCCATACCATTTAGATGGTATATCTGCTGCACTCTTTGCTTGATAACAAAGATCAACATCAAGTCGATAAGGAAGATAAAAATGTCTTTTATATGTAGGCCATTCAAGCTTCTTATCAACAAGAGCTCCACGACTATTTCTATATTTAATAACAGTATGATATTCTGGATACCATGAATCTGGATATGGATGGACATAAACAAATCTTTGGTTTCGAGTGCCTGGTGCATCTGATAATGGTGGATTTTTTGACCAAATAATCAGTGTATGTCCTTCAACAGCTCCTGCTCTAATATCATGTACTCTTTTTGGAATTGCATAACACGTGTACATTCTGTATGGTGCAAATTCAAAGAATTGAAGTTCATTTCCTTGTTTTAATGGTCTTAAAAGAACATTTTGTTCATAATTCCCATCTGGATATCTAACAGATCTTTTATCATCAAATTCCATATCCATGACATACCTTGGTGTTTCATTCTTGTCATCTTCATCAGTAAATTGTTTTTCGGTCTTATAGTTATAGTCTGATGCAAAAATAACTCTACAGCATGTTTTACATTTCTCTCTAACATAATTCTCTTGATTTGCATTAAAAACTCCACTTTCAGCAAATTGTTGAATCTGATAACTATCAACAGCACTTGAAAAGTACTCATTAAATTTAGTATTTTGGTTTCTCATTCCAAAGGGATAATTTTGTGATAATTGGTCTCTTCCATCAGTAGTTTTACTGTTACAG